GGGGGCTGCCCCCTTCCCGCGCCTCCCCGCCTCCCGCGCTTTTGTCCGGAGCCCGCCTGGGGACACCCGGAGACCCGAGGTCCCCGGTTGAGCCGGTCTTTCCGGCCGGGGTGATTTTCGTTTAAAGATTAATGGTGAGGCCAAGCTCTTAATTATTCTCCTAGTTGGGAGGCGCCAGGAGAAATGTGTTAATATTTGATAAGGAACTGAAGGCGCTTCCAGCGGCTGGGCGCAGGGACCGGGAAGCACTTTTTCTACGACCTCCCGGGGCCCACCCCCTTCCCGAAGCCCCCACTGCGCGTCCCCGGCTCAGCTCCCCCTAAAGTTAACCATGGTCCTGGGTGCCCATCCGACCAAACCTCCTCTCCAAAGACCAAACCTCCTCTCCAAAGCCAGGTGCCCCTCCCTTGGAGCGCGGAGTGGGGGGCGAGGGAGCCTCTGCAGCAGGGGGAGCGGGTGCGGGACGGGCGCGGGACGGGGCGCGGGACAGCCTGGCCGCCTAGGGGAGGAGGGCCGGGTTGAGGGGCATCTTGCAGCGACTCTCAGGAGAGGAGGAAAGAGAAAAAAGGCAGTGAAGGGGTTCAGCGCAGGACTCCCCGCGATGTGCCACTTGGGCCTGTGACTTACCTTGAGCTGAAGGCAATCGAGAAACTGTTACCTCTCCCTGGAAGACTCTAAATTGGGGCCTTGCCAATCAGAAGAGTCATTACCAGAACTGACCTTTTATGACTTAGCTATGAGGCAGGGCAGACTTCTAACTACTGAGCATCTGCTCTTATGTTTTGGGTGTGAACTGCCTCCCCTCGGAAGCCCCAAGGCGCCTTACCTCATCCTTAGCCCAGAATGCCATATGGACCTCATTTTCCCTTTCTCGGAACCGCTCATGCATGTGGGGTTCCCACACGTACATACGAGATTAAACTTGGTCATTTTCTCTTGTTAATCTGTCTCAAGTCTATTTGGTGATCCGACAGCCGAAAGACCCCAGGAGGGTAGGGGAAAGTGTGTTCCCCCCTTTCACAGCAGGACGTGAACATTTCTATTTCTATCCACTGAGCCAAACCAGTGCTGGCTTTTTAATTTCTTTTTATTGATTTTAAAGATGAAGGGAAAGGGAGAGATAGAAACATCAATGAAGAGAGAGAATCATTGATTGGCTGCCTCCTGCACACCCCACACTGGGGATCGAGCCCACAACCCAGGCATGTGCCCTTGACTGGAATCGAACCTGGGACCCTGCAGTCCACAGGCCGAGGCTCTGTCCGCTGAGCCAAGCCGGCCAGGGCCGAGCATTTCTATGTAGAGTTGGACCTTTGAAACCTACTTAAGCAGACGGGCTCAGTAGAAAGAGAAAGATTTTGCAGTTAATTCAGGTGTTCTGTGGCTGTGTGGCCTCGGGTAAGTCACTCTCCGTTTTCTCATTTACAAAGCAGGGTAGTAATTAACTTCACGTGTGGTTTTAAGGGTCCCCATAAGCCAGTGGGTGTATGCGCTCAGTGTGGTGCATGATGGCCAGGATGGCTCTACCACTGGCCTGCGCCAGCCAACCAGGGCCTGATCTCAGCTGCCCCCTCACACAGCCGGTGCTCCTTTTAAGGCCTGGCCCTGCTTTCCTGCACCATCTCATCCCTTAGGGAACCTGAGGCCGGAGAAGGACCAGGCTGCACACTGAGTCCCCAGAGCATCTGCTGCCGTGAGAGGCGGGGAGAGGATAGGGGCCCCTCAGTCACAGCCTCCGGGCCAGGACTTGCGGAGACTTTGCCCAGGACACATTTGGGTTTCGCTGAGCTGGTTTTCAGGATCCCTTCCTCCCCCCAGAGTGGGAGGGTGGGGTGTCCAAGGTCCATCGGAGGGAGGTTCTTCAGTCGTCTCTACAGAAGGGGGGTCAGGGTGGAACGTCAAGGCTGGGGGACAGTGGCTGGGTGATTGGCATGGTGGTTAGTCTCACTCTGCTTCTGGTTAGGGCAGGTAGGCGAGGGGGAACCTGGAGCTTGGAGCCAAGACCTAGGTGTGGGTAGACCCCTGCAGCCCTCTCGTGAACGGTGAACAAATACAGGAACCTGAGCGGGTGTGCGACCTGCCACCTCTTGCCTAAAAGCCAGCTCTCTTCCCTCGGCCCACAGACAGACCTGACCCCTGGCCTTGGCCCCATCAACATTGTGTTTTCCTGGCTCCTGCCTCCTGAAGAGGGTAGTTACAAGAGCATTCATCCAAGCAGGTCAAAAGTTTCTATGATTAAGACAGTGGATCAGAGGTTACCATTATAAACGCAGGAGCCGTAGCTGGCAGGAAAGAGCAAATTCCTAAGAAAGCTTAGCCTGAACCAAAGAGGCCCTGGGGAGGCTCCAAGGGGGTTCTGCCCTTCACAGCCGTCTTCCAGGACTCTGGTCTAAGGAAGGCTTCCCTTGGAGTGGCTTTCCCATGAGCCTCCAGTCCAACTTGACCTTGGAGGCCCCTTCTGCCTCCGGGACCTCTGAGAGGCGAGGACACAGGAGGATTGTAACAAGGAGCTCTTCACAGGGGCAGGTGGCCTCCCACTCACCGTCTCCTGGGACACTCACTCCTGCCTGAGGAAGAACGTAGGGCTCAGAAGTCCGTGAACTCGCCCGCAGAGAGAGATTAAGCCAGAGGCAGCCCCGGGTCCGGGTCGCTCCAGCATCAGAGCTCTGCCACCCGCAGAGGGGCCTGCATGGGGAGTGGCCGCTCGCCCTTGCAGAGTTGACCCATATGGGGGTTCCAGAGGCAGCAACTCCAGGGGCGGCAGAGCCCTGTCCAGGGAAAGATGCTCAGGGACCGTCCCTCTCTGGAAGCAGCTGCCCCAGCAGGGGCGGCCTGGCCCCCTCCAAGAGGGCCCGGGAAGGAGGCGGGCTGATCCAGAGCTGAGGGACTTGAACACCCAAAGTGGTTCTGAGGGTCCCGGAGCAAGAGGGTGTCCAGCTTTCTGTGAGTGCTCACTCCTGGCCTCAGACTCTTCTTCCCACTCCCTAGCGGGACCCCGACCTCCTCCTGGCTCCCTCCCCACCCTGTCCCCATTCCAGGGACCCCAGAGAAGGTGGGTTTGGATGGGGGGGCGGCCCAGGCAAGAAGGTGGGGGGAATGGAGGGATGCTCAGAGGACTGAGCTCAGGCTGAGTGGGAAGCCGTGCTTTTCTTAGGAATTTCCTCATCCCTGAATTCTTTCCAGCTCGGCTTTTGCCATCTGTGCACTTACAAGAGGCCAGAGGGAGGGAGGCAAGGGAAGGGAAGGGCTCAACGGGGGCTTGGCTGAGTTCCAGGCTGCCTGCAACACGCCTGCCATCTCATTTAGTCCTCCTCCCAGCCCAGTGAGGTGGGTTGTGGTGTTCCACTTTACAGATGATAAAACCGAGGCTTAGAGAGATTAAGTGACTTGCTCCTTAGCCAGAATTCCAGCTCCAGCTCCAGATCAAAAGCTTTGTCCACCCTGCTGGTCCAGCCTTTAAAAAATATATATCGATAGACTTTAATTAGAGCAGGTTTAGGGTTACAGAAAACTGAGCAGAAAGCAGAGGGCTCCCGTGTGCTCCCTCTGCCCCTGCACAGTCTCCCCTTGGGTCAGCATCTTGCATTTGTGTGGCATGTGTGTGGTGCAGCCTTTCTGCAGAGATGCTGGTTCTACCAGCCTGAGGCAGAGCCGGGATGAGAACCTGAGTCTGTCTGGTCCCAAAACTCAGGAGTGTGGGGTGGTGGGACAGGGGTACAGGCTTGGCCGTCTTCCTTGCTGTGGGGCTGTGAACGTTTAGCCAAGAATGGGTCTTACTAACAGAAGAGGGAGGGGCCAGCCTAATCTCCTGGAGGCATCGCCCCCACATTGGTCAACTCTGGGAAGGCAGCCAGAACCTGGCTCTGTTGTCCTAATCCCCCTCCTCCCCTCTCACCTCCCTTCCAGGTTTGGGTTGGAGGAGGGAGGGGGGTGGGGGCTGATGAGAAACCTGGGGGCCTTGGAGCCCTGCCTGCCCGAGAAAGGAGAACCCCAGAACCCGTGTCTTGGGGAAGGATGACCAGCAGATTAGTCACATTCTTGCACTGCCTTCTTGCCCCATCCCCGCCCACGGTTTCTTCTTAAGTGTCCTCTCCTAGGAAGCCGCCACCCCATCCCCAGGGGGGCTTTGACTCCAGGGAGATTTGCAGCCTCTGACCCACTGTGCCTGCACACGCACACACACACACACACACTCACACACACACACACACACACACACCCGGTGTGGCTTGTGTGCACACCGTTCACATGCGCTCCTGGGGCCAATGGCTGCACAGGCGCACGGACACACGCACAGCCCTCACTCCTGCCTCTCTCTGCTCCAGAGTCGCACTGGTGCTATGCGGTTCAAGCCAAGGACTCCAAAAACTGCGTGGGTAAGTCCAGCGAGCCTTGGAGACACAAGGATGGTGGGAAGGACGAAGGACAAGGGTGCCCCGCCAGCCACATATCAGCTCTGAACACAGGCACACACGCATGCGGGCATACACCCCTGAGCCCAGGGGGCCCTACCCTGGCACCCCCATCACTGTCATCTGGAGGGTGCGTCCTCTGGGATGTCATTGGCAGCAGCAGATGGAGAGACGTTTGACTCTTTCGAGTAACAAAGTGGAGACTTGCACTTTCTATTCAAACTCGCGGACCGCCTTCCAGCCGCTGCTTTGGTCCTGCCTCTGCGGACAGGGCTGCCCACGGTCACTAGGGTTCAGGCACCAGGCTCCTCCCTGGGTCACATCCCACCTCCAGCCCTTCCAGGGGACCCACTCCTCACCTGCCCAGAGCCCTCCCATCCCCCTTTGAACTCCATCACACAGGTCACCACATTTCTCCCCTCACAGCCCAGCAGCCTGAGGCTGTCCCCTCCCCCAGAGCTCACAGCCACCTACTGGCCACCCTGTTCCCACCCTGTCCCACATCACTGCCTGCCTGAGGCCTTGCCACATGTGAGCTGGGTGCTTGGTCCCGTCCTCCAAGGAGCAGAGGAGGCCACAGCCTGGCACCAGGCACCCCGACTCAGTCCGCCTTCTCTCCCTGCTCAGCGCCGGACCAGTGGGGTGGGCAATGCCAGAAGGACCGCCAGTCCCCCATCAACATCGCCACCGCCAAGGCACGGGTGGACGAAAACCTGGGACCCTTCTCCTTCTCCGGCTACGACAAGAAGCAGAAGTGGACTCTGCAAAACAATGGGCACTCAGGTGGGTCCCGGGTGGGCAGGATGGAGGCCTGGGCACCGGTCCAGGGAGCCCCTGGGTTCCCTGAGGATGAGGCGGGCACACAGGCCCAGGTCCACTTTGCTGAGGAGAAGCTGGAAGCTCAGAGGGAGGGGGAGGAGAGGGAAGGGGCAGGACAGGCTTTGGAAAGAAGTATTTGCAATACGTCATCAGGTCAGTCTGGGGCTGGGAGGGGGGGTGTTCTGGGAATGAAGGAACACCATGTGCAAAGGTGTGGATGTGAAACAGCCTGGGAGCTGCATGTGGCTCTGTGTGCATGGAGGACAGAGTGAGGCTGGGAGGGGCGGGGGCAGGTCACCGAGGGCTGAGGAGGTGGCTATTCCCCTGAGGATGCCAGGCCACCACGGAGGGGGGTTGGAGCCAGGGAGGGACCCATGGAGTTTCCTGTTTGGGGCAGTGGGAGGTGTGCAGAGGGAGAGGCAGATAGGGGGGCCAGGGAGCCGTCTAGGGCTGTGCCACCCATCCTGTCCCCTCCCTCCGGGTCCCAGTCTGAAGTCCGTAGTTGAGGCCTTGGTTGGGTGGAGCTGGGAAGAGTGGTTGGAGAAGCTAGGGGAGGTGGTCCAGGACTCTGCCCCTCCTGTGCCCTTCAGTGATGGCGTCGCTGGGGAACGGGGTCACAATCGCTGGAGGAGGCCTGGCCTCCTCGTACCAGGCCAAGCAGCTGCACCTGCACTGGTCCAGGGTGCTGGATGCAGGCTCGGAGCACAGCCTGGACGGGGATCGCTTTGCCATGGAGGTGAGTGACCCCTCCTGGGGTGGAGCCTTGGCTGGGGAAGGGAGTCCAGCCCCCACAGTTTCCCTCTCCTTCTCTCTCACCTCCCACCAGATGCACATAGTCCACGAGAGAGAGAAGAAGAACGAGGCCCAGGACCCCAAAGACGAGATTGCAGTGTTGGCCTTCCTGGTGGAGGTGGGGCCCCGTCCGCCAGGAGCTGCTTCTTAGGATCCAGAGACCTGGGATTTGAGCCAAACAGGAGGGGCCTGGGGAGGCCCCTTGTTTCTCAGTGATTTGTACACCCTCCGGGGCATGGGGGAGGGGGAGCGGGCGGGGTGTGTGTGGAGAAGCTCAGAGCTTCTCAGAGTCTCAGATGCAGAAGCTGCCTGCCCTCCCTATCCCCAGACCAGGAGAACACATTGGGGTCACCACCAGCTCCCCACAAGCCCCTCTCAAGCTCCCTCCCCTCCTGTTCCAGGCTGGATCCAAGAATGAGGGCTTCCAGCCGCTGGTGGAGGCCTTGTCTGCTATTCCCAAACCCAGTGAGTCAGGAAGTCCAGGAGGGGGAGCCTGGGGGTGATGGGAAGGGTGGGGACTTGTTCCTCCAAAGGGGGGCCGGGCTCTCAGAGGGAGGTGTGTGAGGGGGGGATCAGCGGCTCGAGAACCCCTCTTCCCCTCCACTGACAGCGCCCTTTCTCCACCTCACCAGTGATGAGCACCACAGTGACGAAGAGCATCAGCCTGTTTGACCTGCTCCCTAAGCAGGAGAACCTGAGGCATTACTACCGCTACCTGGGCTCGCTCACCACGCCGGGCTGCGACGAGAAGGTTGTCTGGACTGTGTTTGCGGAGCCCATTCAACTCCACGTGGACCAGGTACACAGGGCCCGGCTGAGGGTGCAGCCTTCCAGTGCTCAGCTCCCCAAAACGATTTCTCTGGATTCCCCCAGAGGTCCCCTGGGCTGGGGTGGGGCACCCCAGGGAGCTGAGGGCCTGCTGGTTGAATCCACAGACACTCCCTGCTGGAGACAGGCAGAAAGGTCCCGGCCATCCCATCTCTGGGTTAAGGGCTGGAGGGGAGAGGCTGCAGCAGGGGTGTCAGAAAAAGGCTTCTAGCCGAAACCGGTTTGGCTCAGTGGATAGAGCGTCGGCCTGCGGACTGAGGGGTCCCAGAAAAAAAAGAAAAAAAAAAAAAAAAAAGAAAAAGGCTTCTAAGGCTGCACCCTGGAAAGGAGGTGGGAGTCGGCCAGCTGAGGGCAGGGGACTCGTTCCTGGGGAGGGGCGCCTGCGTGGGAGGGCCCAGCCGGTCAGGAGCAGCTAAGAGAGGGTTGGTGTAGCCACAGTGGGAAAACAGGTCATTCCTTCCACAGACGGTCCTCTAGTCCCTATAACACACAAGCCTCTGGGGATACAGCAGTGAGTCAGTCCCTGCCCTCCTGGTATTTTGTTCCCAGACAGTGGTTCTCAAAGAGTGGTCCCTGGGCCCACGGCATCTACAGCATCTGGGGACTTGCTGGACATTCAAATTCTCAGGCCTCACTCCTTACTGAATCAGAAAGTCTGGGGGTGCAGCCTGGCAGTCCAGTAAGCTCCCAGGTGACATGCATGCGCAAGTCCCAGGATCATTGTTCTATGGTAACAGTAGTGTGATCATGGGCCCTCAAAGCTGTCCAGTGGCTCAGGGAGGCTAATGGGAATTGAGCGCCACCAGTGCCCAGCACTTTACATCTCATTCTCATCCACAAGGAAACCTGAGAGGTAGGGCTCAGAGAGGCAAGGCGACCGGCCTGGGGTTACACAGCAGGGAGACCAGCTCCACCTGTCCCTGTCCCTCTGCAGATCCTTGCATTCTCTGAGAAGCTGTACTATGACACTGAGCAGACACAGAAGATGACGGACAACGTCAGGCCCCTGCAGCCCCGGGGGCAGCGCCCGGTGTTCAGGTCCCAGGCCCCCGGCCGACTGCTGCCCTTGCCGTTGCCCACTCTGCTGGCCCCCACACTCACCTGCCTGGTGGCTGGCTTCCTCCGATGATGGCTCACCTCGGGACACTTGACCTCTGACCTCTGCCCTCAGAGGGCTGGGGCCTCCCTTCCTCTGCTTCCCAGGTTGGACTTGGATGATGATTGAAAAAAATACAGATATATTTTTAGAGAAACCTTTCTCAGGTCTGTTTTGAGCTCCCACAACTACCCCTGCCCCGTTCCCCTCAACCTACCCCTGTTCCCTGGGTAGGGACCTTAGGGCCCGGAGATGCCTTTGGAGCAGGGACCACGTGGGTGTGAACTCCCTGTCTACACCCCACGTGGAGAGATGCGAAGGCACCCGGGAGCTCCAGCACAGTGAAAGCACAGAGGCCATGCAGAGCCCACGGAGACCCCAGCCAGTGCTCTCTCCTCTGTGCTAGCGCCTTCTCTGTGCTGGGCGCGGTGGGCGACAAGAGTTCATTTATTTTCAGAAATACTCTTGAGTGTCTATGTTCTGGACACTGGGGATGTGGCAGGGAATGAGACAGATGAAAACGTCTGCCCTCTTGGAGTTCCCATCAATAAAACAGACATGTTGCCCTGACCGGTTTGGCTCAGTGGATAGAGTGCTGGCCTGCGGACTGGAGGGTCCCAGGTTTGATTCCGGTTGAGGGCATGTGCCTGGGTTGCGGGCACATCTCCAGTGGGAGGTGTGCAGGAGGCAGCTGATTGATGTTTATCTCTCATCGATGTTTCTGGCTCTCTGTCCCTCTCCCTTCCTCTCTATAAAAAATCAATAAAATATATTTAAAAAATAAAACAGACATGTTGTACATTGTCTCAGAAGGCACTGCGTGCTGTGGAGAAAGCCAGGTCAGGAAGGTGGGCAGGGAGGGCCTCATGAGGAGGGACATCCGGGGGACCTGAGGAGGCCAGGGAGGAGGCCATCTGGAGCCCGCCCATGTC